AGAGTTTCGGAGAGAATGGACCCCTGGGGAACACCGACGTAAGTCGCCATAGGATCGGACGAGCAGCCATCAACGACGACCTGGAGAGAACCTTCAGTCAGAAAGTCCTTTACCCATTCAATCAGACCAGGGGATAAGCCGTACGCTGGAAGCTTACCCTTTTATTTTATCAAGGTGATCTTGACCAAGATACTAGGATAAAGTTCTACACCATCATCAGCCGTCTACATGTTGGTGAAAATATCATTAAAATCGAATACAATTTAAAAAGATGTAGCATACATAAAAAAGTAACATATAGGTGGTATGCAGGTGGCACTGAGGACCGTCTTTTGTAACGTTGTTCAACAGTGAACTTTAAAAGGGCTCTAATGATGATAGTGATGATGATGTTGAATAAAACATAAAAATGAAATAATTATAACAAATTATTTAGCTCTGACAATACTTCTTTATACAACTGTTTAAACTTCAATCACGATGTCACATCCCGACTACTAAAACATTTGAAAATATAGAAAAATTTTAATGAGACATTGATAATGCCAAAAGCAATTAAATCTGGTCTAAATAAAGGACCATACGAAATCGTCGAATAAATAAGTATATAATTTTCTTTTCAGCAGCGTCATTTTTAATATTTTAGAGGATAGATATTAATTAGTCTATGAATTCCAGTTCTCTACTCTCACTATTCTGTGAGAGCGTGGTCTTGCCCCGTTCGAGCTGACTTATTCGTGCTGTAACCATAAGATAACTGCAGCATGGCTTTACCACGTTAAAAATAAAAGAACTGGAAACTTTTCTGGTTTCGAGACATTCTATCTTAGACCGCAGTGGTGTCAAGGCATCTGCATTTTGATTCTTAATCTAGGATGTAGGTGTCTATCAGCTACAGGATCTACTTACCATCAAAGTTATGCATTTGATTATTTATAACTTACTTATTCAGATGAACTTATAACCGTGAATAGAATAGAATCATTTTTATTCAATACAGTAACACTTATTGAAAGTTATTTTTTACTTTTACCACTGGTTCGCAAAGAAGCCTGAGAAAGTCCTGGGAAGAACCAGCAAGAAAAACAACGAGAACTTTTTTTTAAAAAAAAAAAGGCACAATTTACTATATAATATTTATACAATTGCTAAGAAAACATTTATAAACATCATGATAACGACCACCTCATTCCCATGGGTTATTATCAGTCATGTACTCTTTAGTAGTACGAGTATAATAACCCTTACTAGACACTTTTGCTTAATAAATATTTTTACGTGGTAGAGCCATGCTGCAGCTATATTAATAGTATAGTTGTAGCACGAATTGGTCGGCTCGACCGGCGAAGGACCACGCTCTGACAGAATATCAGCGTAAAATATCAGCTTAATGCTGCTAAACATAGCAGCATTAAGCTGCTATTTTATTAAATATAAATAAAATTCAAAAACAAATGGTCAGATCTTGATCAAATTAATATATGACCACATGAGAAGCATCAGCTTTCAAATAAAAAAGACACGAAACATCGTATGGTGAATGCAGAGAACCTGAGACCCATTTTACTGGAAAAGAGGCATTCCATCTTAGTCCTCACGGGAGACAACGCATCTACATTTTGATTCGCAAACGAAGAAAGATGTAGATTTCTATGGGCCACAGCAACCACTTACCTCAGGTGGACTGTGTGCTCGTTTGTCGTCCTTATTCTATAAAAATTTTTTTTTTTTTAAGATTAGGTCTGCATATTTTCTGGAACTTTGTTGTATACATTGCCCCATGAAGGAAATACTGACTTTTTGGAGTCGAGTAACTGTAACTAAAAAATACTCACAATCATAACGACATCGTAAATCCGTGTTTTTATTTTTATTTTCGTCCGCATTAAAATATCGGCCACAGACAAACGCAACTGAATCTGGCACACGGCGCGTTTACGCTCCCATTTCGTTTACCGCCTAAATACTACACTTCCTGGTTCGGCGAATTCTTCGAAAAGTTAACCCATTTACAACAATGACCTTTTTTTTTAGTATAGGATGACAAACGTGCACACAGTCCACCTGATGGTAATTGGTTGCTGCGGCTCATAGACATCTATATATATCCTCGATTACAAATCACAATGCAGATGCGTCGTCACCCGTGATGACTAAGATGGAATGCCTCGTTTCCAGTAAAAAGGGTCACCGGTTCTCTACACTCACCAAACGAAACACAGCAGTGTTTGCTATTTTACGCTAGCATTCTGTGAGAGCGTGGTCCTTCCCCGGTCGAGCCGAGCCATTCGTGCTACAACTATACTACTAATATAGCTGCAGCATGGCTCTACCACGTGACCTATAAATAAAATTTAAATGTCTGTCTACAATATTGAAATAACTAGCTCCTATTAAAGCGAGGCGGATATTTACATGCAATTTAAATATAAACAACCATTTCTAAAATGTTTGTCCGTCTGTCCGGCCTAATCTTCGGAGTAGCTAAAGCGATTGTGATAAAACTTTACGAACAAAGCGAAGTCAATTAAATACGCATTGTTATGGATAACTCAAAAACAACTGGTCAGATCTTGATCAAATTAATATGAGACCACATGAGAAGCACCAGCTTTCAAATAAAAAAGAATGATCAAAATTGGTTCACCTAGAAAAAAATCTGAGGTGACACACAAAAAATCCAATTAAGAACACCTTCCTTTTTTGAAGTTGGTTAAAATAATTTCCACATTATAGTTTTTTTTATATATATAAACAGCATGACAAACGAGCCCACAGTCCACCTGATGGTAAGTGGTTGCTGTGAACCATAGACATCTACATCTATCCTCGTTTGTGAATCAAAATGCAGATATCGGAATCCTCGGCGTCGACATATCGAGTGACGTGCAGTTTCGTGGTCACTTGGAAGAGAAGGCCAAATTGGCCCCTAATAAAGCTTGACGTGCTCAGCAGAGCGGGACAGTATTTCATGCCGGCACACCGCCTGCAACTTTACAAACCGCAGGTTCGGCCTCACATGGAATATTGTTCCCATCTCTGGGCAGGGGCTCCCCAGTGCCAGCTCCTTCCTTTTTACCGCATCCAGCGCAGAGCGGTTCCAATTGTCGACGACCGAGTTCTTTCCGATCGGCTTGATTCACTGGCACTGCGTAAAGATGTTGCATCTCTGCGTATTTTATAGGATTTACCACGGAGAATGCTCTGAGGAATTGTTCGGACTAATTCCAGCTGCTCAATTTCACCATCACACATCACGGCAAAACTTGCTATACCATCCATACCATCTGGATGATTGGCGGTCCACCACTGTGCGATTTAGAAGATGTTTTCTTCCCCGCACAACTTCCTTATGGAATCGATTACCACCAGCGATTTTTCTGGATCGATACGACTTAGGGACCTTCAAGAAAAGAGCCTACTCCAAAGGCTGGCAACGCATCTGCAATTCCTCTGGTGCTGTAGTTGTTCATGGGCGGCGGTAGTCACTTACCATCAGGTGAGCCGCACGCTCGTTTGCTCCCTCTCCAAAAAAAAAAAGATACGTTGTCAGCCTTGAGGACTAAGATGGAATGCCTCGTTTCCAGTAGGAAAGGTCTCCGGTTCTCTACACTCACCATATGAGACACGGCAGCATTAAGCTGCTATTTTACGCTGGTATTCTGTGAGAGCGTGGTCCTTCCCCGGTCGAGTCGAACCATTCTTGCTACAACTATATTATAAATATAGCTGCAGCTTGGCTCTACCACGTAGACAAACGTAGTTACTGAAGTCAGGGTTTTCATTCTTCTGTGCTTATTGTTTTAGCTCTGACTTCCGAAGATATGCTTTAACAAAATTGATGAAACAAGCTTATATACAATCCACCTGATGGTGAGCTAATGTAGTCCGAGGATACCTGTGGTCAACTTCAAAGAAGAAGACTACAGATGTGTTGTCACCTCTGAGTACCGTGACGGAGGTTACCTCTCAGACTGTAACACAGTAATTCACGCACAAAAAACCTTCTGAAAAAATTTGCCTACTTATGGTTCTTCTCACAAAGTCTTTTGCAGTTTTATAAACGTTTTTACGTGGTAGAGCCATGCTGCAGCTATATATAGTAGTATAGTTGTAGCACGAATGGATCGGCTCGACCGGGGAAGGACCACGCTCTCACAGAATACCAGCGTAAAATAGCAGCTTAACACTGCTGTGTTTCGTATGGTGAGTGTAGAGAACCGGAGACCCTTTTTACTGGAAAAGAGGCATACCATCTTAGTCCTCACGGGTGACAACGCATCTGTATCTTGAGTCTTTATTGAGGATAGATGTAGATGTCTATGAGTCACGGTAACCACTTACCATCAGGTGGACTGTGTGCTCGTTTGTCACCCCATCCTATAAAAAAAAAACGTAGAAAGGCCAATTTTTCTTTGACTTTATATTATTATTTTTGTACAAATTATTTTTATGTCATAATAATAAAAGAAAATAATAAATATCGTTAGAGCCATGCTGCAGTTATATTATGTTGTTTGTAGTACGAATGGGTCGGCAGCTCGAACGGGGAAAGACCGCACATCTCACAGAATAACAACTTAAAAGTGCCGTGTTTCGTATGGTGAATGTAGAGAACTGAAAACCCTTTTTACCGAGAACGAGGCATTCTACTTAGTCCTCAAGGGTGACAATGCCTCTGTATTTTGATTCTTATTTTGGGTAGATATAGATATTTATGGGGCCTATGAGCCACAGCATCCACTTACAATCAACGGAATGTGTGCTCATTTATCGTCATTATTCTATAAAAATAAAACTTCTTTCATATGCAGTATTGATTATAAAATATTGTAAAAGTTAATACCTACAAAATTTTCGCAAAATTTTCACAAAATTTAAGTCCGTCCAATTTACGCTTTGTAATCTCATAATTTTCATAAGTTTGTTAATGTCTATAACGATAAGTTCACATTATTAAGTTTTTAAATGTAACTGAAAATTGAATTATTTCCATTCACCTGTAAGGTGTATTTGCGGCTAAAAACACGTAGTTGGTGCCGTAGAGTCCTGTCAGCAGCACGGGTAGTGCCAGCAGCGCTGCCAACCGCACTTGCCAACGGCCAAAACCGCCCACGAACTCGTTCTCCATCGCTATGATAAACCACCCACACCTTGTGCAAACTGTTCACAAATTCTAGTGACTTGCTTTCGCTTACGGGATAAACACAAATTGAACGTACACAAATTGCATGCTCCACACGGTCGTCCCGCCGCCTTGAAGGGCCAAGCGGGAATGCTAAGCCGTAAGAAAACTACTACACAACGTAACTACTAGAGATAGTTAACCAATTAGTTGATAGTGTAACCGCTTTGATAAAACATTCAATAGAAATATAATATCTACTCCAGCGTGTTACGGGTCACTTTTCGCTGGCCGCCTGGTCGCGGAACCTTTTTTTTTTATAAAAGAGGGGCATACGAGCATGCGGGTCAGCTGATGGTAAGTGTTTACTGCCGTCCATAAACAACTGTAACACCAGGGGAGTTACAGGTGCATTGCCGGCCTTTTAAAAATAAGTAAGCTCGTTTCTTGAAGGTCCGTAAGTCGTATCGGTCCGGAAAAATCGCCGATGGCAAACAATCCACAAAGAAGTCGTGCGAGGGACAAAACTCCTAGTAAATCGCTCAGTAGTGAACCACCAAGCATCCAGATGATGTGGATCATAGCGTGAGTTTTGTCGCGATATGGCCTCCGCCACATGCTCCAGACTTACACGTGCAGGTGTGTACTACATGCGTTTAAAAATAGTAAAGTGTTACATTAATAGCTAGTTGAGCACATTTTAAGTCGGTGTTACAGCTGGTCGCCGGCTGGTCGAGGTCGTTGACATTTAACTGCAAGCAACGTTTTACGCATACGCACTATGAATAGAGCATGAATGCATCGCATTCATACTCTATGAGATCACTCTCTTACTAAACTAAAAGACTTTCTATTTTCAATTCCTGGAATGCCTGTTAGTTTGAAGTTAAAGCGCCTGCAGGAAATAATTCGCAAAGTTGCGACAGTACGAAATATCTGTATATTCTGCCGACTTCCAAAAAGGAGACGGTACTCAATTAGACTGTAAGTTTTTTTTTAATGTGTGTTTCCTCATAACTGGGTGAATCGATTTCGATGATTCTTCTTTTATTTGAAAGCTGGTACTTCTCGTGTGGTCCCATATTGATCAAGGTCAGACCAATAGTTTTTGAGTAATTCTTAATAACTTATATTTATGTCGGCTGTACAAAATTTTTAATTTTTAATTATTTTATACAACTTTGAAAAAGACGAGGATATCAATTGTACTGTAGTTTTTTTTTTTATAAGCAATATCTAATTCACGCGATATCTCATTCATATTCATATTATTTATTGCATCCATAATGTTACAGTTAAGTTGTTGAGAACATTTTAAGTTTTAACTTAAAACTATGAGATCATTATGGGCTCTCCAGGGCACGGCAATTAAGAGAGAGGAGAGCCATTATAATGATACATAATGATACAATAATTAAATGACTGCCTCGCTGGTCTAGTCGTTGTAGTAGTGCGACTGCTGATCATGAGGTCCCGGGTTCGAATCCCGGGTTGGGCCAAAAAAATCAGTTATTGAGTTTTTCCATCAAGAAACTCTCAGCAGCTGCCCGGAGTCATGAAGTTGGCGGTGTCTCACACCCGTGCCTCGGAAAGCACGTAAAGCCGTTGGTCCTGCGCCTGATCTCTCTCCGGTCATGTCGGTTTACCGTCCCATCGGACTATGAGTGTGAGGGAATAGAGAGTGCACCTGTGCTTGCGCATACACTTGGGCACTATAATCCTGTCCTGCGCCGATGGCTAGACTCCGTTGAGACCGGCCGCCTTGACCGAAATTCGGTCTGGAGGACATAACATGATAAATACACTATGTTATATTGCAACTGTAAGTATTTTTGTAATAAAAATAGAATTGAAATACCAGGCAGGTATTTAAAATTTATCATTGGAAGTAATTGGAGGTTTTTTTTTTTATAGGATAGGGTGACAAACGAGCACACAGTCCACCTGATGGTAAGTGGTTGCTGTGGCCCATAGCCATCTACATCTATCTTCGATTACGAATCAAAATGCAGATGCGTCACCCGTGAGGACTAAGATGAAATGCCTCGTTTCAAGTAAAAAGGGTCTCCGGTTCTCTAATAGCGTTAAGCTGCTATTTTACGCTGGTATTCTATGAGAGCGTGGTCCTTCCCCGGTCGAGCCGACCCATTCGTGCTCCAAACATAATATAGCTGCAGCGTGGCTCTACCACGTATAAAGTAGTAAAGACTAGAAACGAGTTGGGGGATGACTCGAACTTTAGGCCTAGTCAGTTTGAATAGCCTATTATATAGAGGATGTCATGGTTGAATAGGGGCAAAAAGTTCTCATTAAACTCCAGAGGGGTCAAAACTGCCAAAAACTAAAAAATTTGGGGGGGGGGGTAACTCGAACTTTAGGGATAGTCAGTTTAAATAGCCTATCATGTAGATGATGTCATGGGGGTCATGGTTGAATAGAGGCAAAAAGTTCTCATTACACTCCTAGGGGATCGAAATTGCCAAAAACCAAAACATTAAAAATTCTTATTTCGGCTTCGTAAAGACCTCCGAAGGAGGCGGAGTTATCTCCGTTTCTTTACTTCCCGCATCCAACTTGTTTAAGTATTCGTTTAGTGTTTACAAATTAAAAAATCCTTTAGTTTATTTATAAAAATAGTATCTTTTTCTATATTTTTTATCATTTCTGGGAGTTTCTTAAAAATTTTGATAGACATGACGAAGGGTTTTAAGAATAAGCGTTTTAATATGCTTTCTCCTCGTTTGATATAATATTCTGGGTATTATTTAATGAATTTTCAGATTTTCAAAATGTATATGCACGGTAAGGTGAGTATTTTATGTTAGACGAAGTATGGTTTGCAGCTATCAGTATTTTGTATGTTAAATATTATTCGAATTAGTTTTTTTTTTTGTAGGGTTAAAAGATCAACAACGTCTGTGCTATTTCCCCACATGATAACCCCGTAGCAGAGCCACGAGTACGTATAAACATAATAGGTACTGAGGGCGGTTTGTATATCGGTAGATGTTTTCACTTCTAGGAGAGCGTATGTAAAACTTGCTAACTTCCTTTTCATTTTCATTATGTGGGGTTTCCGGTTAATATTTGTGTCTATTGTTAAGCCAAGTAGGATGAATTCGTTTACTTTTTCGATTTTTATGCTATCGTAGGTAAAGTTTATCATTAATGGAACTTTTTGGTAACGGTGAAAGCTTATTATTTTCATTTTGGAGATATTTATTTCAAGGTTATGTTCTGCCATCCAGTTCGTTGTCTTTTCTAGTATCAAAGGTAATTTACTATGGATGTTTATCCTGCTGTCACGTGAGATAAGCAGGGAGATATATAAATTAGAAATAGTAGCCCAGAACACTCCCTTGAGGGAGTTACATTTTTTTCCGTCTGATCTTTTTCTTTCGTTTCGTAATTGAAGTGATCATCATGCGTAGGGATGTTGTATCCCTTTGCATTTTCTATCGAATCTACCACAAGTAGATTAAGATTTTTCCGAACCCATAAGACTTAGGAACCTTCAAGAAAAGAGCTTACACCTTTCTAAAAGGCTGGCAACGCGTGAGCAATTCCCCTGGTGTAGCGGTTGCTCTGGACGGCGGTAGTCATTCACCATCAGGTGAGCCGCATGCTCGTTTGCCCCCTCCTCTATAAAAAAATATTTCTACGAATTGCTCTCGATTCTGTAAATATGACTTGAACCATCCGTATGCTTTACCACGGATTCCTGTACCGTATAGTTTGTTAAGAAGAATTTTAAATCGAACATTAGTCAATTGTGCACTAATTTAATGATTATTTTTTGTTAAATAGGTTATACTTCAGTGGTGGTCCCCCTCCTAATGGTGGGAAATAAGGAATGCAGTTTTAATGTAACTATTTAAATGACACCGTAGCAAGAAGCACAATACCGTGGCAAGACAATGCCGGCCATGTTTCGGTAAGCGAAGTTTAAGACTTCTCCCCACTAGATGGAGTGAAGACCTGGTAAGAGGTGCAGGAAGTCGATGTATGCAGGTGGCTCAGGACCGAGCTTTCTATTGAGTGTTGCATTCCTTGAGGAAGGTCTATATTCAGTAAAGATGATGATGATGATGATGATGATTTAAACGACATTCTAGTTAGTACCTTGAGCTTATTATAATTCGTGGTCTACTCAAAATGGTCAAAAAGTTAAACTTTTTATCATCATCATCGTTACAGCCCATCACAAGATCTTTGCAGAAAAAAAAACTTTTAAAGTAAAAGAACATTTCTTTCATGGCAAGATAAGAAAAAGTGTGAGGGAAATGGATATTATTCCATCTCGCATCCTTATAGCCGCCAAGGCCACCAAATTCATACCGTCCGATAAGGAACTTCGTTCCAAAAACATAAATACTTCTGAAGTCGGGTTTTTAATAATTCCACTCACTGTGTCTTACACCGACTTCTGAAGCAGTTGTATTGAAATTATTTTATTATATTTATTTCTTTCAAGTCAGCTTTTAGTTTTTATTCTGAAGTCGGATTTATAATAATTCCACACTCCATATGTGGTAGAGCCATGCTGTAGCTATATATATGTGGTAGAGCCATGCTGCAGCTATATTATGGTTGTAGCACGAATGGGTCGGCTCGACCGGGGTAGGACCACGCTCTCACAGAATGCCAGCGTAAAATAGCAGCTTAACGCTGCTGTGTTTCGTATGGTGAGTGTAGAGAACCGGAGACCCTTTTTACTTGCAAAGAGGCATTCCATCTTAGTCCTCACGGGTGACAACGCATCTGCATCTTGAGTCTTTATTGAGGATAGATGTAGATGTCTATGGGTCACAGTAACCACTTACCATCAGGTGGACTGTGTGCTCGTTTGTCACCTGATCCTATAAAAAAAACACACTGTGTTTTAGCACCGACTTCTGAAGCTGATGTTTTGAAATTATTTTAATATATTTAGTTATTTCAAGTCCTCTTTTACCTTTTATTAAAAGTTTATTTTTAGTCGTATTTCGAAAATTTCGTTTATGCGC